ACGTCGACGGTCGAAAGAGATGCTTTCCAGCGTCTTCTTCAACACTATCGTCTGGATGTATCCATGCACATAACAAATAGCAATGGTGATAGGCTGTCACCCTGTAGTATCCCGCGCTCCAAGAACAATAATAAAAGTTTATATAACAATAAAAATGTATAAAAACCCAACAAAAAGAAATTCAAAGCGATTAAAGCGAATGTAAATTAAGGCAGAACTTATACTCGGATGAACTTATACTCGAGACTTTAGGGTAAGTTCTTTTTTTGAGAAGATTTCCGTAGGAATTCCCCGCGTTTACTGATTCAGGAGCTGATACTGATATTTCGAATAAAAATGGAAACATTTTTGATCTTCTATGTAATTGTGCTCACTTTTACCCATTTAATTCAAAGATTCGAAGAATATAAGTCGCAATTCTACCGTAAAAGCGGAGTTAAAGAGAACTAATCTTTAAGATAAATGGAATAATCACAAAAATGACCGTAAAATGACTTTTTTGACCGATTATTATAAGAAATTTCACTAAATTTCGCTAAATTTCAACTTTTTCTCTTTTGTAAACTCAACAAGTTCAAAAATAAATGGCATACAAATAATCCCAATTAAAAGAAATGAAGGATTTAGATCTGGGAAAGCTCAACAATTACAGAAAAGAGATCACAAAGCACATTGTGATCATTGAAAACGAAAAAGAAATTCGAAAGGAAAGACAAGTCAAGGAATTTCGTAAAAATTTGATGAACTTTCAGAGATTTCCATACAAAAAGAGTGTATTTAGATGAAAAAGCTACCTCTTTTTTGACGATTTCGACGGCAATTTGGACCCTTTTTGCTCGGCTAATTAGGAAATTTCATTAATCATGCAATTTCCAAAAGAATTAGGCTTATCCTTGAAGATTTTTTAGCAGGCAATCGCCATAAATGGATCACAGTCAAAAAGTTTCAATTTCGCTTTTACCCACTCAAACTTACTTTTCGCCAAATAAACCCTAGCTCCATTCGACGAGTTTTTCAAGCCGTATCTTTTGACATAAAAACGAGCCCGATCCGTCAAAATATGGCTGAGAAACAGCCGAAAAACTAAAACCGCCTAATGGGCAGGGGTGTTCTTTGTGGGCTTGCACAATTGCGAACTTTCTGGCAGAGGGCCTTTACAGATAGGGACCCCTTCGCCCGTCACCCGCACATTGGTCGTTCTGCTTTTAAAGTATAAACGGGAACGTTTGGAGTTTGTAGAAGCCTGCTTCTCGCTTGGTCGATGCCTAACCCATTCGTGGAAGGCGGCGCCCGGAACCATGGGCTGCCCCGGGTCGGCAAACCAATAGCCCCGAGCAGCAGACCTAAAGGATGTTGTGGATTAGACCACAGTTCTCCCGTGAGAGGTACCGCTGATGTTCGTGAAACCGCTACTGTTTCACAGTGCTTCCCGTGGAGGGGGCAGAATGGTCTGTTGCTCGTAACCGGATTACATTATGCTCCCTTTGGGCTCCGGCTTCTGTCTCCTGTCCGCTACTTGACAGTCGTCTGAACGGCAGAAGTTTGGACACTCCATTGGAGGAACCGTGAGGTTCTTAAACCGACTGGGGATCAGATCAATCCCTTTTAGCATCAACAAAGTGCAACTTCGGAGCTTTGTCCTACTGATGCTGCGCGCACCCTTGAAAGCTGAACATTCTTTCAGCGGAAGTCGGTGCCATCGCCAAGGGCCAGACGTGGACCTCGGATCCCAAGAGTCTTCGGATTACAGGGTGACGGAGTGCGAAGTCCAACCACCTTCCTCGTGGTGCACTCTGGGCACTTCCCGGAAACAGGAAGTGGCGAAGAGCTGGACAAAAAAGGAAAGAGCTTTTGACTTTCTTGCCAACAAAAAATCTTTTCTTTCGCCTTTTCCCCAATTCGATCAAAATTTCCTCGTTCTGCCACCATTCTGCTAACCCTTCTTTTCACAAAACCGCAAGCCTCTCCCCGCTTTTTTCTCATTTTCTGCCTTTGTGAGGCTAATTAGAGGTTTTCGATAGAAGTTCACACCTTTCTTGCAGCCTTCTTGTTCCTTTTCCCCATTGAATGTCATCCTTCAATGTCTCACCGATCTCCATTCCTTTTCTCTACAAGTGCTCCCCGATGATTGCCTTCAAGCTGTTCATCACTCCAAGAAATCTTTTCATTTCTCTGTTTTGCAAAATCAATGCATTGATTATGCATTTTGCAAAACAAAGAGCTCTTATGATTCACAAAAGAATGAGATCATGTTGATAAAGATTAAAGAGCGGGTCTTCTCCTCCTCATGCAATCCTTCATACAATTCTTGAAGATCTCTCTTTTAGAAACTACATTAATTACGCTTACCAGGGTAGCCAAATTTTGAAATCATTGACTGAATCTTGTGGTTTCTCTTCCTCCATACCAAAAAATGCGAATGATAATTGATTGGCATTTTGATTAGGGTATTTTCGATGTCATGAACTTACTGTAGCTGTGCAGAAATCTATCGAGTGAATTTATGATATCTATTTAGATTCATAATTCATAATCTCTAGTTTATATTGTGCTTTATGTGTTTATATTGTGCTTTATGTACCTTTTCCACTTTCTCTATAAGATCTCTCTTGTGTAGATGAATCAGTTTTCGAGTCGATATTCTACCACTGAATTACCAGCGACGAAAAATACAGCAAATACGTAATTATTCGTATTTTCCACAGTAGCTGCTATTGCCTCGTTGTTGAGCTATTCAAGATCCCGATTTTTCTATTTGTTCCAATTTGTTCCAATTTTCATTGAAGCACACTGAAATTGCCTTTAAATCCTTAACTGACACTCGAATCCTCATTTCGAAACATGTGTTCCCATTTACTCTTTTCCTTTTTCTTTCTTTTTCTTTTTCTTCTTCTTTTTTCAATCATTTGCCCATTTTCTCGAGAAAAACCATTTATTTCATTTTTCTTTTTTGTTTCTGAAAAGAAAAACCATTTCTTTTTTGTTTCCTTCTCCCTCTAAAATCTCTGTGAAGTGTCACCCTTAGTGCTAAGTGCTAAGTGTTACAGATTGATCTTCTTTCAAAGATAAATCTAACCTTTTTTTTTTCTTTTTTAGTGTAAACGAATTGTTTTTGAGTGAATATTCAATATGAAAGCCTCTTCTAAATCGTTCAATTTCAAAAACTCTTTTCATCTTTGCTTTCATTATTTGCTTGTCTTTGCTTTCGTTATTTAAGAATCATATGCTATTTTTTCTTTTCTAAGATCATTTTTGAATCCGAATTGTATTTCAATAACGGATGTTATCGTATATTTCTAAAATTTGGGTTGAAGTACAGCATCTTTTGATAGAACAAGCAAAAATGAGGAATAAGAAGGGTTTTTGAGCATTGAAGATGAAAGAAATTGATGTTTTGACATGATTTAACATAAAAATAAACATATTACACATATTTTTCCCATTAGACAATAAAAATTGATGAGAAAATTGAGGATTCTTTGTCTGAAATTGGAAATCAAGAAAACCCGATCCGAAAAGCGTTCTTTTCCCTTGATTTCGATGAAAAATCGAGCTTTGCCAACCGGAATTCTGCTTTTAATCAAATCATTGATTGCTCAATCATAGATTTTCTTTTTTTCAAATAATTAACAGTAAATACCGTGTGGAATCTCTCCTTTTCTAAGCTTTCACTCTTTTCTGGGCAAACCTTTTGCTTATTTTACATATTTTGCTTATTATTCCTGCAAACTAATACCTCTTTCATTTACCAAATGACACAAATCGCTCAATTCCTTTTATCAGTGAAATTCTATGAATTAGATTGTTAGCTATGGATTAGATTTGTGGACATTTACCAAATGACACAACAGCACAACTGTTGTGTGACACTGGCCTCAATAGTGTCACCTCGAATCGCATCGAATCTGTGCTGTTGTGTCATTTGGTAAATGTCCACAAATCTAATCCATAGCTAACGATCTAATCCATCGAATTTCACTGATAAAAGGAATTGAGCGATTTGTGTCATTTGGTAAATGAAAGAGGTACTAGTTTCCAGGAATAATAAGCAAAATCTAAAATCGAGATCCCAACGGTTAAAACATGAGCTTGTCGTATCGATAAACAAGTCTAGTCAATGTCAGCTTTATATTTCATCCTTCATCTTTCATCTATCATTCGATCTCTCAAATCTCAAACGATCTAATCGCTGTCAGTCAGAGTATAAACAAAGCAAAAACAAAACATTCGAAATGTTCACTCATCGATCATTTTAATCGAATTCCTTTCCTTTTTTTTCTCATTTCAAACTTAATTCCTAATTTTCTTAATTTTCTTAATTTTCAGCTTATTTTCTTTCGACTTCATTTCCATTTGCCCAACTTTTTCCTTTTCTCGTGTGATTCCTCACAATTAACCCTGATATTTCTGATGGGTTCAGCATTTTTGAACCATTTTTGAACCATTTTTCGGTGAAATCCTTTTCTTAACATTAACTGATATCTTTTTATGTTTAGATAGCTTTTTCTTGTGAAAAGCTTGCCTCTTTAACTTTTAACACATCAATTCTTCCCTAATTTAGCTTTAAGCAATGAAATTGCTTAAAGCTAAATTGTGACAAAACTGTGAAACATTTCTATGACAATTTTTCTCAACTTTTCTGTCTTTTCTTTAATCTTTTTTGACAATTTCTCAATTTATTTGAAAAAAGAAAGAAGAATTTTCAACAAAAAGAGATTAGAAATCGAGGAAATGAGAGAAATTGCAAAGGAAAAAGAAGAACAACCAGTTTTTGACCGTTTTACTCTTTCTCTTCTTTCAATTTCACCTTTTTTTGACCTCATCATTAATCTCTTGTTTTAATTAAAAGTCTCATACAAATCTTTTGATTCAAGTAATCTTTGGATTGGATTAGTTACGCTTAAAACTCATCGAATTTTTGCATTTCATCTTTTTTAAAGTCTCTTTTTTAAGGTCAACCTTGATTTTCACCTAACCATTACTCTCATTTTCAGTCAAATATGGGCGATAATATGGAATATGATGCACCGGGAGGGACATTGCATGAGGATCCGTTTGCTGATGGATCGGGAATCGATTCGACAGGTGATTACTCGAAATTAAGCCAAAAAATGTGGCCTAAAAATAGAGCACTGTACAGGGTGACCAACAATTACAGCAACAACTTTTTGGAAGAGTATCTGGGAAATGTCTAATTTATTGCAAAAGTGGCAAGTGTTATACAGAGAATTGTAGGCCTAATTCTCGGCAACATTTATCTACCAAAAACATCCCGATTTGACTTATACAACTCATTTAACAAGCGCTTTAATGAGCGCTAGTCGACATCTCTCCGGCATCTTTTTCATGTAGAAAAGTGGCCAAATGACAGATTCGCCGGAGAGATGTCGACTAGCGCTCATTCAAGCGCTTGTTAAATGAGTTGTATAAGTGAAATCGGGATGTTTTTGGTAGATAAATGTTGCCGAGAATTAGACCTACAATTCTCTGTAGAACAATTGTCACTTTTGAAATAAATTAGACATTTCCCAGATACTCTTCCAAAAAGTTGTTGCTGTAATTCTTGGTCACCCTGTCTATTACATAAAGCCCACTCGTGCGCTTCAATTACCCAAGTTCAGTGTATTCAGAAAGAACACAAAGTTATCTATTTCGTGAATTTCAGACGATCAAGCCGTTTCGGTGATCACAAAAGAAGTCCTCCTCACTTTAGCCAACACAACGACACAATTTTTCAGTAATCTTACAACAACTGAAGGTATTGTAAGAATTTCTGAAGGGTATCAAGGATTTTTCAGCTTCTTTGATTCCCCAAGAATTTGCAATGAACCCATGGAGAGTGGGATTTTTGGTGGCAAAGGCGGTGGCTGTTCTTTTGCTTTTCACTCTTGTCCTCGCCTCAAGAAGGGATTTTATAAAAGTAAATTTATAGTTGTAAATAATAGGTTGAGGCATAAGTCTTTTTGTTCCTTTTCGTCTGCCGTTTCAAGCCAACAAATGCACCAATTAAACTACGGTTGATTTTATTAGAAAAACCAATTATTTTTCTGCAAAATAACATTAAAACGGGTTTAAAAATATTTAATGCCTGGATTTTCTTGAGAGTATGAAGTCGGGTAGTCAAAAAGGGCTAACTCGATCATGCGGTTTAGACACCTTAGCTAAAGAAAACCTATCTTCGTGTCAATAGATAAAAGATAGAGAAAAAAAACGTTTGATATTTCGCCAAAATTTCAGGGAAATTCATTCAGCCAATTTTTCCGTAGAGTTTTTATAGATTTTTACGAAAAAGGCGTTTTTCACTCTCGAATTTGCTTGAAAGTGAACCGAAATTGATTTAAAAAGATGGAAATTCAACAAAAAAACACTTTTTTTATAGAGCAAACTATAGATTAATTGGTGAATTTGTTACTTTTTAACAGAAGTACGAAAAAAACGAAAAGACTTATGCATCAACCTAATAGATTAATGATATCTTTAGAAAGATAGAATAGCTTTGCTGGAGACTATATCAAAAGAGAGCCGTTTAAAAGAGAGCCGTTTAAAAGAGCGCCGTTTGAAAGAGCGCCGTTTGAAAGAGCGCCGTTTAAAAGAGCGCCGTGATCAAAAGGGCGCCAAGCCTTATTAAATAGAGTCTTATTAAAGTCTTCTTCAATTCAACCAAAACCAAAATCTAGTCGCGTTCTTTTGAGGGTTTTTGCATGGCGCTCTTTTGAGCGATCCTTTTGATTAGGGCATTCTTTTGAACGGCCCTGTTTTGATATAGTCCCCCTTGCTGAAGCTTAATGCATTACAGTAATTAAAAGCGAATCTCAATCACTAATTCAGACTTTCGGCTGTGTCCTTTTACTTCCTCTATTGGCTGATGTCGGTTTTGATATCTATCTTGAAATCGCTGCAAACATTCACAAAATGATTGGAGTATTGTGAGTTTAGTGTATGGGATTATCATTATCTAAAGATTAATATATTATTGGCTTTCCTAAATCACCCACCTTTTAGAAACCACTCAAATTTCTATCTGATCTTCAATTCATAACCTTTCAGCCCATCGGATTTCTCGTATTATTGGGGACCGGCTGTGAGTGAACCACTCTATCACACACAAAGGTTTCTAATTCCGTTTCTAATTTTGTTTCTAATTCCGTTTCTAACCCTTCGGCTCAGGCTCTATTCCTATGAAATCATTTTCAGCAAAGAAATCTCAATCTTTTCCCATCTTATCGTTCACTACACTGGATACAGAATGTTCACGTAATGATTTGAATCTTTTCTTTCAAAGACAACGATTCCAGTGAACTCCCATGGACATCAATTGTTCTGTTTCTAATCGAGAATTTCATCTTTTGGTCTCTTCTCACTTCAACAATTCTACTATTTCATTTTGCGAGAAAGGCCATTTCTCGACCTGAAGATATCAAATATACGCCGACTTTGTGAGCAATTCAAATTGACATTTTAAATCCAAACAACCCTTAAAGAGCAACTACAATTTTGGCATACCACACTTGGGTAATTAAACCGGCCGAGGGGCATTTCCGGCCATCCCTACCCAGAGCAGTGTGCCATTTTTCCGACGAGCGAAAGCCAACTGTGCGTGCTTTCCATTGTAGAGGAATTGTGCATTCTTTCCCTGTCGCTCGTAGGGAAAATCGGCGTCTGGTACACTGCTCTGGGTAAGTTCTCGAGACAAAGTTCTCAAGCTGGTTTAATTACCCAAGTTAGTGTGTGAGAAAGTGTGTTTACGTATTTACGTGCACGCAAAACAAGAACAGAACAAGAAAGAACAAGAAAAGAAAGAAAGTAGAACAAGAAATTCTAAGAATCTCGTGATTTACAGCTGGCCGTTCATCCAATCCCAATCAATCCCTTTCCTCCTCGTTGCCCTGACTGCTGTCTTCACTTTATCCGATCTTCCCTCATGGATTTTCCTCGCCGTCTCAATTGTCATTCGTTTCTTCGCTGTCGGATTAGCTCTAATCATTGTCTATCAATTCTTTACGGTAAACTAGAGAATCAATCTTTCCACAGCTCTTCTCCAATTACAGTCATTCTTCTACTATTGCCAACGACGAGATGACTATGTCATCGCTTCACCACATTCTTTGGTTTGAAAAAAAATCCATCGAAATTCGAATCATTTTCAGATTCGCTACGCTCGTTCACGACTGTTTTGGATTCAAATCTTTGCTCTCTTTGCCCATTCGATGAGTGCACCGTTTGTTGGTTTGTTTTCAAAAAATTTTGAGTCTTTATCGAGTCTAGAATAGATGAAAAACGATTAAAGATCAAAATTGAGCTAAATTTGAATTGATTTTGATCGTTTAACAGGTTGGAGCGCGATTTCACTGGCCGAAGAGGCGATCGCCGTTTTCAGTACGTACAAAATCGATTCAAATCTCATTTTGTGGATACACAGGTGAGAAAAGGGAAAATTTAGGGAAAAAACTTGAAAAGAGATACCGTAAATACTGTAATAGTACCCCATCTTCATAGTGACGGTGCGGAGCGTTGCGTAGTCTAGCTTTGAACGAGTTTTTCTCGACACTGGTTTATGCTACAATGCTACAACATATATAAAAAAATAGCTGAAATTCAGGGCTATTTTTTGATATTAAAGTGCACATTGTAGCATAAAGCAGCGCGGAGAACGGGATGTTTAAAGTTAGACTACGCAACCATCCCGAAAAAACGAGTTTTTCTCGACACTGGTTTATGCTACAATGCGCGCTTAGGTATCAAAAAATAGCTGGAATTTAGGGCTATTTTTTGCTGCCAAAGACGCATTTTTTGAAAGTACGAGCGCTTTGAAAAAAATGAAATACTAAAAAACTTTTGCGAGTCTAGCGTGCGTAGTCTAGTGACTACGCGGCTGTACGACGGGAGGTAGGGTCCAATTACAGTATTTACGGTAGGTATTTTACGATGAAACACAAGTGTTTCACATGAGTCCAATCGACTTGTAGCCTCAAGAACCTGAAGAACTAGAATGAGCTTTCAGACTGTTCACAATGCATCTCCATCTCTTAACCCTCCGCCCGTTGATCCTTTCAATCATTTGCATTGTATTCTTGCCAATTCTGAGAAAAAGATTCCTCAAAACATTCTTCCCGTGTTGTTGCAGAAAAGAATAGTTTTATCATATGAAAATTGAAGATTTTCGAAAGCTTTCCTTTAACCTCTTTCTATTCTGTGATATCGGTAATTCCCGGTGTTTTTGACAATTAGATTTCCAAATTAGACTCTCTTCTGGCCATATTTTAAAACTTTGGTGCTATGACATTTAAATATGAATAAATGACATTTAAATAGACAACAGAAAAAAGAAAAACAATGATAAACAAAACAAAAAAGAACAAATTTTGAGACAAAAATCTATAGGTGAAAAGCTTTTGTACAAATTCTCAATCTAATACCAAGATCAACGCCTTTTGATCAACGCCTTTTTAAATCTCTTTTAACAAATTTTTTTTGTCTTTTTTTTCTATAAGAAATTTCTCAGCTTTGAGAGAAAAGTCGGTTGAATTGATTTCCCAAATCTTTCAACCAACCGGGAAATGAAATGCTCTTTCCATTTCCAAAAGCAACTGCATTTCCATCAAAATCTATTGCATTTATCATAAAAATTCATTTATTTCATACTTTCTTTACTGAAAATGCTGATAAAACTGAAACTTTTTAGTTTTTAGTTTTTTTTGACTCGAAACGGACCTTACTCGCGCGTAGTCGATCCCTACAAACCACTGTAACTTTCTTTAGCATTCGTGTTTTTAAGTGTGCTTCGGTGGATTCGAAAGCTCTTGAGAGAAAAGTCGTTGAATTGATTTCCCAAATCTTTCAACCAACAGGGAAATGAAATGCTCTTTCCATTTCCAAAAATAACTGCATTTCCATCAAAATCTATTGCATTTATCATAAAAATTCATTTATTTCATACTTTCTTTACTGAAAATGCTAGTAAAACTGAAACTTTTTAATTTTTAGTTTTTAGTTTTTTCAATGTCTCCACCCAGCTTTGTTGATCGTCTCTTTCGAAAAAAATCGTCAAAAGTTTCGGCGGCTTTGGACACAAAGTTGAAAAGGTTTGGAAATTTGTTTTAAATACTTAGAATTATAAATTTTGATTCTAAGTCCAATTTGCTCGAAGAAATCGAATCGTTTCAGATGTTTGAACGTGTTTGATATCACTCTTTTGGGTGTCGGTCACATGATTGGAGCTGGCATCTATGTTCTAGTTGGTGAGTTTTGAGATTTCATCAAATATGTTTCAAAGCCTAAGCCTGAGTATTCAGGAACTGCCCTCAAAAACATAGCCGGCCCAGCAGTTGTCATCTCGTTTGCGTTGGCCGGTTTTGCCGCTTTCCTCTCAGCGCTTTGTTATGCGGAATTTGGGGCAAGGTTTGAGATCAAAACAAATCAAAGATCAAAAAATACCTTTTCTTAGCGGCTTTTAATCTTAAAAATGCAAGAATGCAGGTTTCCAAGAGCCGGCAGTGCTTACACGTATGCTTATGTGGGTGTGGGGGAATTGTGGGCGTTTATCATTGGATGGAATGTCATTTTGGAACACATGCTTACAGCTGCTGGTAGGCCGATTTAGTACATTGAAATGTGATGAAATGAACTGATTATGAACAAAATGGAGTTGGATTTGGACTCCTCAAATCAGACTGAGCTATAGACAGAAGACATCAGCTATAGACAGAAGCGGTGCTTTAAAAGTTGTCTTGTTTACTGTAGTCTTCCTTTTACGACGTTGCAAGTTACGGTACTTTTTAAAGTCTCTCTCAAATCATTCATTTAGTCGTTGCACGTGCTTGGTCGGGTTACTTGAACTCAGTCTCCGGTGATGTCATTCGGAATACGACAATCAGCATTATTGGAGATTTCCATGTAAACGAGTCACTGATAATGACTTACAATAACGTTTAGAGTAAATATTTCGGCGAATACCTCGATTTTGTTGCCTTATTTGCTTGCTTTTTCATAGCGGTAGGGAAAAAATCTCCGAAATTTCTATCAAAATTCTCCAGCTTCTCGTCGCTTTGGGATCAAAGGCTTCCACGAGATTCAACAGTGTTTTCACGTGTCTCAATCTTTGCGTAAGGCTTCATTTGGATTCAGAAATTAGACATGGACACTACAAACGCTTCTAACTTGCTTCAAGTCTGCCAGATTGATATGATCTATGGCTCAAAAGATAAAGAATCTCAAGAGCTTTCGAATAGGTCGAAGCACACTTAAAAACATCAACGCTAAAGAAAGTTACAGTGGTTTGTAGGCATCGACTACGCGCGAGTAAGGTCCGTTTCGAGTCAAGACTAACAAACCACTGTAACTTTCTTTAGCGTTGATATTTTGAGTGAGCTTTAGTTCATTCGAAAGCTCTTGAGATTCTCTATCTTTTGAGATATAGATCATATCTATCAAGCAGATTTGAAGCAAGTTAGAAGCATTTTTAGTGTGATAGTTCGTCATTTTTATAGTGCCCATGTATCAGAAATCGATCATTTTCAGGTGATCATCTTCGTGATCGCAGCCGCTTTTTCCTATGCCGATTTCTCAATGTGGCATGGTTGGATAGTGGTGAATTGTATCAAATATATGACATTCAGACCATCGTGGCTTCATGCCCTATGGTGTTTCTGGGATTCTCTCTGGAGCGGGCTCTTGTTTTTTCGCCTTTATCGGATTCGATGGACTGGCAACAGCTGGAGAAGAGGCAAAAAGTGAGTGCAATTGAATATAAAGAGACTGTAGCTCGGTACGGTCGTTCATCTAAACATTTATGCTGTAATATAGCACTGTCAATCCTGAATACCACCAATTCTAGGAATCAATTCTAGAACCGGGCCGGGCCATCCCCCTGGCCACTTTCTATTGTATGGCCATTGTCACCGTTGCCTACATTCTGATGTCCGGATCGTTGGCACTAATGGTTCCATATGATAAAGTATTGACTAACATTGTACTTTTCCAATATTTCTTTTAGGTAGATATCACAGCAGCTTATGCAAGCGCATTTCAATCACATGGAGCCACCATTGCTCGTTATGCCGTTTCACTAGGAGCCATTTGTGGAATGACAACTACTCTCGTTGGTTTAAAAGCTAAAATAGAGTTTAGGGTTTGCTAAACAGTTACTTGCTCTGTATTTAAAGGTATTTAGCTAGTTAGGTGACTAGATAAATCTAGATAAATCTAGTTATCTAGTTTAAAAACTATAAATCCTAGTTCGGAGCCACGTTCTGTTTACCCCGTTGTGTCTACGCGATGGCTCAAGACGGACTCATTTTCAAGTGGCTCTCGAATGTGCACGCGAGGACACAGGTGAGGGAAATTACTGAATTAAGTGCAAAACTGTTATACAACTGTAATAATTGAGAGTCTCTAGGTGCCAGTGAATGCAATCATTGTCTTCGGCACTCTCACCGGGATTATGGCTTTTCTCGTTGATGTGGCAACACTCGTCGATTTTCTGTCTTTAGGTTTGTTTGTGGGTCATTTTAGACTACGCAATGTTCCTATAGAGGCTTTTCGAATATTTGCAGTACTTAAGAAAAGTGAATGAATCCAGGTACCCTAATGGCTTATTCAATCGTTGCGGCAAGTCTAATCGTGTTGAGATATCGACGTGAGCCAGAGGAGGATAAAAATGGTATTTTAAATATCTATTATTTTAAATACCTTGATTTCTATTCAGAAACTAAAGCTTTTCGTTTTCGTTTCCTTGGCTCTTCAAACCTCTCAAAGATTTCCGTGCAAACTGGTGTCAATATCGCGCTTGCCATTATGGTGACTGGATTTGTTGTCATAAGTAAGTTTAAGTAAGTAATCAAGATCGACTTCAAAAAAACTGCCAGATTCAACTTCTCATTAAGGTATTTGCTTTACTACAAATCTCCGTGAGCATTTCATCGCTCGTCCACTCGTTGCCTTGAGTGCTTTCATGAGCGGTAAAGCTTTCCTTTGGATTTCAGCCTATCGACAAAATGAGGCTGAAGTTGCATTTAAAGTGGGTTCACATAAAAGCTCATCCATTTTTCTATGCTTTCAAGTTTCCCATTCGCATTGTTCAGGTTCGTTTCGTCCCTTTTATCCCATCTCTCTCCCTCTTTATGAACATCCTCATGATGATCAATCTTCCAATTTTGGCTTGGTTTCGATTTGCGGTTTGGATGACGATTGGTAGATGAAAGTTTTCGGAAAATTTTAAAAATCATTTCAGGAATGCTAATTTATCTCTTTTATGGAATGAAGCACAGTGTTGAGGAGAATTCGGCAACGATAGTCGACTCAATACAAATGACTCCAACGACAAAAGAGAGCACTTGAGCAAAAAGCATTTCTCTTGCAGCTGTGGAAATGTTATACGGGTCACGAAAGGATTTATTTGTAATAAATCAATCAAAACTTTTATCTCATTTCAATGTGCAAAAATACAAAGTATTCTATATACGAAAAGAAGGCTGTTCACACAGAAAAAGAAGACGAAGAGTAACTTGATTGATGCCATTTTTAGATCTCGTGATAACGCTCGACCTCGATCAAATAACAATCGCCGTCACGACGCCAATACTGAAAAGAAAGATTTATCAAATTAACACGGTTGAAAAGAACAACAAAAAACTGCAGCTCTGCAGCTAAAAATAATTGAACTGTAAGAAATTGTGTATGTTTTAAAAGCTGTCGTAATTTGTAATTCACTACCGTTATGAAAGCGCCCGTAATCTGGATGTCTTTCGAATTCGACTAGACCTATCTTTTGGCTATCATGACCCGCAGAGTATTGTAGTTATTTGAAAATACATCATAAAGACGGACAGGCTTACGGTAGCGGCAGTTTGATTTTGATTGGAATGGCTCGATTAGATTACAGTAGGTTTCTTTGGTTTGTATCTCAGTTATTCGCTGACCTGAACAACATCGAAAGTCATATTCTTTCCACTCTCGAACTCGAGTGCCTGTCGAGCAGCATAACGAATGATGTCAGCGCTTCCCGAGAAAGATTCATTCGATGCCTGAAATCGTTATGCTAATCCTTTTCCAGACCAAAAACCAAACCTGAATCTTGAATTTACCCAACTCTTTCCACGAAGCGAATGTGGCGCTGACTTCTAAAAATTAGTTCTAGACTTGTAAATGACTTCTTTGAGCCACTCACCAGCACGTCCAACGAGCACGGTCTTCTTCTTGTCATCGATCACAAGCGCGTTCTCGAAGTAGTGATTGTCGTAGCTGAATATCTTTGGGTTTGATGGTGATGTAAGTTTGGTAATTGTCCTCATGATCTTCATTATTGTTTAACTTTACTCACGCATTGTTGTCGTGATCGACTCCGGCTTTCTCGATCGATTGGATGAATGGACGAAGGCTGACCTCAAGAGTGCACATCCTACAATCAGATAAAGTATCAGAAAACAACTCTTCTATACAGATCATAACAAAATGGTTACGGTATCAAGAGATACATTCTGAAAAGTTCAACTGTTTGTAATAGCGGTCAAAGGAGAGGTACGGTACCTATCACCGTAACTAAAAGGCTTACGGTAGCTAAAGAATTCGACTGCACATCGAATAGTCTACAAAATCTCATTCAGTCAGTTTATAAAGCAATAAATTTCTGTGCACAAATCACAATTCCCAGTAAGGGGCGGCGGAATTTTCACAGCTGGAAACACGAGGAAAAACTTTTTGAGCTGCCCCGACCGAAATTGATCTGATTCGATTTGAGATCGTTTATATAGGGGACTCTCTCGTAAAGCACAAAGTTCATTTTTTCCTGCTGAAAATGCCGAAAAAAAGAACGCAATACGCGGTCTTTTTCCGATCTCGAAAAAAAGAGTGTGATGCCCCTTCTTTTTGTTCATTTTCTCCCTCAATCCTCCCATCCTTCATCATTTTCACTGACAACTCAAATAAACTCGAGATTATTGGGAAAACAACACAAACTCAAATTGTCCCTCAAACCCTCTCATCATATTACTGACCGGTGAAACGTACTGAACCGAAAACCCCACCGGAACATTATTGTGGATTATTGGGGATGTGTGAAAGTTGTTCTTTAGCCACAAAATTTTCGACAAATCATTGATTTTATAATCTATGAATTGTGATACTGATAGACAGTATCCCTTTACACAAACGATGAGGGTCAAAACCCTGTACAGTCAAAATTTTTGGGTATATTTTATTTCAATAAAAATTGACAAAAATCGAATTAGTTTACAAAAAAGAAACAAAATGTACAAAGTAACAGCTTTAAATAACAACATTTCGAGGCTTAAATGTTTGCGGTCTTGATCACGTAATAATCGACTTCCATCAGGTACTTGTCGCCATGTTTCTTCCAGTACTAAATTAGTAGTTTTAATACTTTTTTTATACAGATGTAAAGTTCACTTTTTCACTAAGTTGTTCTATTCAGCTAATACTTTCAAATATTTACCTGGGTCTTGTCGATAACCATCTTTGTCTCTTCATTCACATGAAGAGTCATCTCAAAAGCATAACGAATCAAGTCCTCACCTCCCGTGAACGATTCATCGGCAGTCTGAAAAACAACTATAAAATCATCAATATAGCGCAAGATACTTAAAACGATTGGAAAGAAATACATTTAACGAACCTTGCATTGCCAATTTGATCCGCAGCTCATCCACTCCTTGAAAAGCTCGGTGATTTCTGAATCAAAAATTATTTTAGGTACTTGAAAATTAGTTCTAAAAAGCTGACTAGTCGTTTTCAACAAAACTTTTCGGAAAAATTTAAAAAATGAAACCTTCGTGTCCTCTGTAGATCTTCTTTTCCTTGACATTGATTTCAAGGGCGTTTGGGTCATAGAAGGAGAGAATGCTAAAACGAGATAAAAACAGTATTCTTCGAAAACCAACTGGCTGAAATCGGGTTCCTTTCCTTCCTCTTTGTTTTGCGATGGACAGCCCTTTCCCCACATCGCCTGCAGAGTTGGACGAAGAGTAGCTTCGAGAGTCATTTCGAGAAATGTATCTAAATCAAAAGTAAAGATTTCTAAGCATGTCGCTAGTTTGAGCATGAAGCGAAGCCAAACAGAATAGAAAATCTGATGGTTTCCAACCAAGCAAAAGAACCTTAGTTTCAACAATGTTTTTATTGATAAAAAAATTGAAAATCCGTTTAAATATTATGTGCAAATTGGAAAATAAGATAAAAAGAAAATGAAAAACGTTGAAAACGATCAATTTTTGGCGAGAGTGTATTGCTCCAGTTCCATCAGATACTTGTCGCCAAATTTGCGCCAGTACTAAAATATAAGTGAAAGATGGATTTCAAGAGTTATTTGCTTAAATGTTAGTTAAACATCAAATTTTGGATGTAAAAAGGCTTTAATCCATCAGAGTTATAAAAACTAAGCATAAGTTTGTATTGTTACATCCAAAATCCAACCTGGACTTCATCAAAAGCCACCATGACTTGACCGTCCTTCTTCATAGTGCATCGACAGGCGTATCGAATGAAATTCTCACTTCCCGAGAAATCCTCATTGGTGTTCTGAATGAAATAAAATATTGCAACTCTCGCATGAAAAATCACCTCTGTCACCCAATCCTTGCCCATTTCGAACCACTCTTTGAATTGCTTCAAGATCTCTAAAAGTATCAATCGATATAGACTAAAATCTCACCACCTACCATCGTGCCCCTTGCAAATACTCTTTCGCGAAACATCAATCATGAGAGCATCCTTGACGTAGAAGGCAAGGAAGCTAAATTGAAAATGGAAAGTAAACAAAAAGCTTACAACTCACTCTTCATTTTCCTTCTTGCATGTTTCCTCAAAATTCTTGATAACCGGTCGCAAAATCGCTTCGAGAGCCATTTCTGAATGAAAAGTTAGTTAAATAAAGTAAAAAAAAGTAGTATCCTAACGAAAACGAGATCTAGCAAAAGTAATGATAAAGCTTTCGTGATAGGGAGAGGCAAGAGAATAAAATTTGAGGGTTCACATTAAGAGAGACTAAGGGGGAGGGACTTTAACAAGAAAAGAGATTGCTTTCCTATCCAGAACAACCTTTATATAATCCCTGGTTGGAGACCACTGCTAGTCTCAACTAAAAATCATTCACCCTGTTGATCAAAGAATACAGTGAGAGTGAAAAAAAACAGCAAAAAGAAAGCCCTAGAGATTCGAGGGAAATAAAGGGGAGAACAAGTCCAAACGCGTCTGCCCCCACCCAAAAAAAGACCAAGTGGGAAAGTGTCTCTATTTGATTTCAAGGCTAAAAGAGAAAAGATTCATTTCCGAGTGTCCCTATCAAAAAAAGTGATGTGAAAAAATACGAGGGGGTCAACGGGGGCAATGCAAAACATGTTGAAACAAGAAAAACGGACAGTTTGTTCGCGATTTTGCAGATGGTGCCACAGTTGGGCTTTTCGTGGAGCAAAAAGAATGACCGAAAAAGAAAGTGCTGCGCGCAATTGAATGTCTTAACATTTAGCACGATCGAATATTTTCGCCTCCATTTCCCTCAAATGTCATTTGGGGGAAATGGCAGTGAAAATATTCAATCGTGCTCAAATGTTAGTACAGTAGGCTTTTGTGATGGAACTTTGTGTCCGACTGAATATCTTTTTGGAAAAATCATATTTATGATGGAATTTTTTGCCGACAAAATTTAGAGAATTTCCCACTACCGTTTCGATATGGTGTTAGAAATGGACGAATTTTTTTTTGTTTAGACGCATAAAAATGTGATGAATAATGAAATTCTCAGTGTGATTGTGTCTGTGTATTTGTCACCGGAATGTGCAATTTGAGGGTCTAATAATTACACAACTTTATTTGTACCCTGCTTTTTCCGATATCACATCAGATTAATGTAAGTTTACAAACGATTTCTGTAGAAAGTGGAAGATTAGAATATTAGGAGACTCATGTTTTTGTTCTTTTTGAAGTCGTCTCGTAGTTGGATAAAGCTTGAGATCAGAGATCTATCGACATCCGCCTGCAAGGGTTTTAAGGATATTTTCCGGAGTTTTGTCACCAACCAAAGTAGGACTACGAGCAGCTTCGCTCAAATTATCGGGTAAAACCATTAAGAGATTTGCCAATGAGTGGAGTTTATCGAAGGGAGCTGATGCATCTCGACCACATCTCCAGGAAGATATACATTTTCTGGAATAGTTGAACTTTATGGACCTAATTATCGGTTATTGAATATGTTCCATAAAAAGGGCCTTTTTTTCTTACTTGTACTCGTTGAGATCACACAGTAGCAACATGGCTCCCGCTGAATTGTAGGTGAAGTTTTGGATGTGAGCAAGAATCGTCTTGTAGAGTCTTTGGGCTAGTTCAACTTGTACAACCTGCAAAGGATATGGATTATTTATCTAAAATCTTTTTTATATAGGTACTTTCAAATTGGCGCCATCACATCCCCTCTCCATTGCCGAGGTTTGCGTTTTCAGGAAACGCAAAATGGTCTGGCAAGCCTAAATCCATTCATAGTCTGATAAACTATAATGCTTTATTACCTGGCTAACTTGGATTTGCATGTGATCATCATCGGGAATGAAGTCAACTTTCTTCTGCGTCGAAGTAAGAACGAATTTTGTGTATCCTGAGATGTTGGTGAGTTTTGGTAATCTTACTTTTCATACCTTGTATGGCATTCAAGTGTCGGTCCATCCCCGTATTGATTTTATTTTCCAATCCTCGTAATGAGGAAGTCCATTTCTTGGAGCAAGTTTGTTCAACAGAAGTATTCCTGAAAATCTTACTTATGTTTGAGAGTTTTGCATACTTGATTAAAGGCCAGATGCTATCTTCGAACTGTTTCGCACACAATAAGACAATTGCCGTGTTTTGTGGAACAAATGTGAAGAAATAGGCTGGTGGCTCAGTCTTTGGCTCGGATAATGTTATGCCTGCAAATGTTTATTTAGTTGTTGGGTATTAATTTTTGAGCATTTCAAACCAGCTAGTGCAAGCTCCACGGCGTAATCAAGATGCTCAGTGACCAATTTTGCGAGCAGCACGTCCAAAACTTTTTCGGCTTGCCTTGATACATCCATTTTATTGCAAAACTGAAATTTTTTCCTTGTACTTACGCTTTCTATTAGTTACCAATTGTGTCCTATTGAAGGCGTTTTTCGTCTCTTGTAGAATCGAAATTGCCACATCTTCGGCTAAAAACGTTTCCCCGCCAAAGTCGTCAGCCGATAAGAAGCGAATCGTCACATCTCGCCGAAGTTCTTGCAAACTAAATTCAATGCATAATTGTAATTTTGTTATTAATACCCTCCACTCGTTATTGCGCGTTTTTGATGCTTCTTTGACTCGTAAAATCGCGCCAAAATGATAGAAGATTGAGCATTCAGATAATCCAATTCATCCTGAAAATTAGATTTTAAAAAAGAAGCACAATTAAACCAACCTTTGGATATGAGTTGAGATATCGCTCAAAAATCGCCCTCGTGAGGTCAATCAGAAAAGATGGATCGGGCGATACATGTAAAACTTCCAATTCAGTACATAGTTTCTTTGTACTAAAGTCATGGATTTTACACGTATCATAAAACTTTTGAAAACCTTGTATACATTTCGGCCAGCGAAATCAAATACCCTTCTTGATCTCCAACTTCTCGATGATCCCTCAATGTAGCGTAAACTGTCTCCTAAATTGAGGGTTACTTTTAAAAAAGGGATTAACAGAACCTTCAGCTTTCCATTGAATATGCTGGTAACAAGTTTCTGTATGACGGCCATCGGATTCGGAAAGATCGCCTCGATCTTCGGTTTAGCATTTCTAAAGCTTTTCTGGTAAGATTAACTCTGATAAAAACCTGCAAAGATGCAATGCTTCCGCAAAAACATCGCCTCTATCTCGGTGGAACGAGGTGGCATGAAGAAATTCGACGTAACGATCAACGCACGAACCGTAGCCCTAAATTTACATTTAAAATCAAAACAATACCGTATGCCAGACCAAAAAATAAGCACCAAATGAAAAACGCACCTTAAACTCAGCCAATATTTTTGCCACTTCCGCCATTTTCTTCTCATCTCGTTGCGATCGCACAAATTCGTCAATCAACAAACGCTCAATTTCCTCGTATCTAAAGTTTTAATTAAAAAGTTCCCCACAAAATAAATTACCTGTGCGCAATTCTCGCTTGAACATATGCATATTTTTCTTTCGACAATTCTTGCGATATCGAGTAGAGCTTTTGAATCAAATCGGCTGATTCGAGCAGCTAAATACTATTGGTGATCTAAAAGAGTTGATATGCAAACCTTGTCCGGATCTGTGAATATTGCAGAGCTGAGAGGTTGATCCGACAAAAATTGATCAAAATGCGTTATCAAGGCAAGGGCCTCAGAAGCTCTTAAAATTGCAAATATTTTTGAGCAAATAGTATCTTTAAATTATTTATATCTCATTAAAATTTACCCGTTTACACTTTATATAAATGCTTAAGGCATAAAAAAATCCAAAAAATTTACCTAGTTCTTGGCCCATCAACACTTTCCAGTTGATCACCAAGATGAACCACTGCTGTCGACACGTTTTGCATTGTTTGGTCCAATTGCTAAAAAATTAGTTTACCAAACTAAACACTTTAATACTTGCCTTGACTTTTTCGATCGCATCGGAGTTTAGTTCATGCAATTGTTGTAGTCGATTGCAATAATCTCGTTTGTCCACGTCCAATTGCTGCTCGAGGACGTTGATTTTACCCTACAACCTTTCAATTGCAAGACTTGCTTTCAAAACGTACCGAAAATTGATCACACAACATTTGCAAGCTGGCGATCTCTTCTTCAAGCTTTTCTTTGAGGTGCAGTGGGTCACTGATTGTATCCGCACCCTGAGCTTTATCGTATTAAACCAACTTAAATAAACTTTATGCCTGTGTAATCCTCCATACTACTCGTTCGACGAAATCGGTGGCATCGAATGGATCCTAAAAAAAGAAATTGACTTAAATTTTGAAAGTACCTGTAAATCTTCTGGGCAAAGATTTTATGCAAAAACACAGAACCCCACAGATTTTAGTCTGAACATCTTATAGCTTTTGTGCCCACAAGCTCATATCGGCATAGGTTTTTGTTTTAAACTACCTGTTCCAAATCCTCGACATATGTCACAAAATATTGACCGCTCATTTGGAATCGATCAATAGATCTAAAGAAATCAAATATATAAATCAAATTTATAAATATAGAATGCCTAGACTTTCTTGTTGTATAAAATACTTTTGTTGGTCTTTGAACCTTTTTGTATGCGTTTTCACCTGTAGCAGGTAAAATGTTTATTCAAAGTGAAATACTTTTAATTAATATGCTTTTAAAAAGCGCTCTGAGTAATTCTTCACACATTTTAAATATATGACACAAGAAATTTTCAAAGGGCACCATAGTAAAGTGAACAAAAAAATTTATATACAGAGTTAAAAGAAAAATCAAGCTGAGAAAGCATGGTGCAGAAAAACGACAAAATCACATTTTTGAGCATAGAATTGAAGACTAGGGATTTCCTGGCTTGTATACAATTTAAACTTAATCTCATGCGTAAAGTACTGGCTAAACTACAAAATGTGCAAGTGTTAAAAGAGAACTAGAGATATTCTTTACGGCTTATTTACTTTTCCGAAGAGATCTTCTTTTCTTTTTCATCGTAGAACAAAAGTGGAAACATGCCAATTATGCAGCCAACTGTCAATCCAAAGGCCCGAGCCGCATTTGTTGTCCATCGTGCCTGAATGATCAATTTTTCTCCGTAACCAACTTTGCAAAAATTTTAAAAAGTTGCTTACCTTGTTGCTTTCCAATTGTTCAGCTGTCAGGACAGGCTGTCGAACACCAAATCGAACAACAATAGCCTGCAAAAAAACATAGTGATAAAGAATAAGCGTTCTATCTCAATACACAAACAATTAAAAATACTTACTTCAACATAATGAGCAAGACCAACACCAGCCACATCAGAGATTATATTCCCAATCGCTGCCGCAGCCATTGTAGATAGACAGAGTAGTGTTCCTAATTGCTAAACAAATCCATAAGCTAGGAAAATTTTAAATCGTTACTGTACCTGGTCAATGTACTCGCCGGCCAAAATCATGATCATGTTGTCGAGAAAACCAAAACCGATAAACGGAATTGCATTAAACGCAAATAACGCTCTCGTTTCTTCTGGAGAAAGAATTGAAGTAACGCCTAAAGTTGATAACATTTACTCACAACAAATAAAAGTTATACCATTGTTTTTCTTTCGTTCTTGAAGGGCTGTTAATAAAGCGGCACGTAGTAGATCCTGTTCTCGCTCTGTGTAGCGTTTCGCCAACTGTCGAATTCAGTTTAAAAACTATAATCAGTTTGTGAAAGATACCTCGGTAGCATCTTGTTCGGTTGAGATGGGGTGTTTTTCGAAATGGAACATCACACTCGTCGTGGATTGTCGCGTCTAAAATAATGTTAGTAAATTAAAAAATAATAATAAAGGTTCTAGTAAATCATTAAAACTTTTGAAATTTAATAGACTGCCAAAAGTGTAAACCAACCTGAATCCGAATGGCGCCAAAACGAAGGGCGCGGGCGGCCGCGCCCACAGCCCACCCCATCAAAATGCCAAATCTAAAAAGTAATGATGTATTAAACTTTCAAGATGTTGAATGAGAAAAGAATGAACATTCGTATAAAAGATCAATTTCTCCCGCAATGATGCAATTAGAAACCCATGGGAAAATCTCCCGTACCGTTGTTCAAACAATTGAGGGTTAGCTTTCAGTTTGCTGACGCCTGTCAAACAACGAAAATGTATTGATCCTCCCTAGCATTCTACGTTTATATTCAGGTTGACTAATTTTATCAAACAAAAACCTTTGTTTCCTAGGCTTTTGAGGAGAAGGCTATAAGCTCTTAATCCTAAAAATTGATCTCCAAAAGAATAGTTTATTTTCTCAAAAATCGTAAATTTGGATCGTAAAATGTGCGAAAAGTTCTCGTGTGAGCATTCGGAGAAGTTTAATTTAATAGCCGCTCCGTAGTGGTCGACGAGATAAGGCACAAACAGAGGAAAATATAAAGAAAGTGGAGAGATTTGGAAGACACATTTTGACCCCCGCCAGCCCTTTGGACTTCCAAACAAAAGAAAAAAGAATGGAGAAGAGAAAGAAAGGCTTTTCAAAAAAACGCTGAAAAATTCACTACAATAGATATTCGAGCGTCGTAACGCTTTTTTGAATACTTTTCTTGTAAATAATTTATTTGCAACAAGCGAAAATAACAAAGAACACGTACAGTGCTACCCATTGAAAATGACTAAAAACAATGAAATGGTGATTGAAAGCCAGTGCTATTGTGCATAGAAGAGGCCATGCAATGAATGTACCAAACCAGTGGATTTCAGTAATTGCCCATGTATCCACGCCCGCCGCCACGTCCCCGTTGATAACCACCGCCGCTTCCGCCTCGATTCCCACCACGACGATCTTAAAAATTTTTAAAAAGTAAAAAGATAAAAGCAACTAAACTAAATATTTACTTACATACCTGAGCATTTAAAATAATACTCTTCGATTAAAAGCCTACCTTGGCCACCATAATGATCGCGCCTCTGTTGATATTCGTTACGAGCCTAAATATGGGCGATACGTTAAAAACCGAAAAAACCTAGACAACCGATTTTCTAATGCTTACCTGGTCTTCGACTGAGTGATGTGAACCACCGCTTTGTTGATAATTTTGATTTCCACCACCATGCCCTCTTCCTCCATGACCTCCATGGCCACCTATTTTAAAAGCATCATGTAAACAAAATTATTAACGAACCATGTCCTCCTCGTCCACCATGCCACTGCCCACGTCCACCATCACCTCGACCTATGAGAAATAAAAATCACAGACATTAAAATTCACTCACCGAGCTGTTGTGATAAAAATGTCTCTCGTGAAGGTGCAGCTACTTCATTTGTGCGTCCACCACTGCAAAGATTTTTTACCGAAATAACTAAAAAACAAACCGATCTTTTGGTGCTTCTGCATTCGCAACCGGCTGAACTTTGGATTTCGTATGTTGACGCAAACGGGAGCATGATGCCTAAAAAAAGAAATTATTTTCATTTTATACAAATTAATTTTGTAATTTAAAACTCCTAAAGCAAGGTTCACTAAAGCTAAAATCGATGAACTCAATACCAGCAGGTAATTATTATTGGGTTTGGGTCAGAAGAGATTTCTCCCACTGGCAGCAACACAACGGGTTTATTACACTGACCACCCAAAGAAAAGAGATAGCCAATGAGAAGGCTAAATGTTTCAATGTGGTAAATAACCTTTCACTTACCCTTTCAATCAGTAGGTGATTGTTCGAACAAGCAAGAAGGCTTATTACATCCGGAGGAAAAACCTAAATTAAAATTTAAAGATTTTAATAGAAAAAAAACCTTAGCCATATCTTTTCTTTTTTCTGCGTATAGATCCAAAATTTCCTTTTCTCGTTTTCGAACTTTATCAGCCCTAAATCACTTTTTATAAAAAAACATTTATTGTGATGTTACCATAAAAATGAGTTCACAGTTACATCGATTCTCTTTAGAAGTAACAGATTTCGAGCGCGTACATCAGCAGACATTTGATGACAAAGCTAAATTTATAAGGATTTTATTCCATTCTGCAAGTTTCAATAAATACCCGATCAACTGCTGCCCACTTCAAATCATCCATCTTTTCGGTAAAAAGTGGACGTGGTGGGTTTTTGAGCACTTGACATCGTTTGTTGGCCTTAATAAGCAAAGATTTTAGAAAAAACCTAATTGGCAAAACTCGATTCTTAAGAAGGATAAACATTAACCAACTTCAACCATAATTTTAGCCACGATATCACGCTCATCTCCTATTTTAGGCGCTGGCATCTTTAACGTTTGAATCGCTCTGTCAAGATCCTGGGCCAATGCAGTATCAATAACCTGAGAACAAAAAAAAGTGATAAAATTTAAACAAACTAGCCTTTACTGGGGCTTTTAATTTTTCGTCTGCCAATACACGAGCAACTTTCAATTCGTTAATCAAAAAGTCGATAAGTGCATAACGACGAGTTGTTGACGAAAAGCGTTCCTCCAATGAACCCGAGAGTAGATCAGAAATTCCACAATCTGCATTAACTTTAGAAGTCAAAATTTAGTAAAATTTACCCAATTCAGTCAGAAAGGCGCTAAGTTCATAAAGAAAAGCCTTCGCTTCGTCAAGTGATTGAATAGCAGATGGACTTTCTTGTAACTCATCAAGGACCTAAAACAAATGTTAACTTTGACTTTAAATTTAAATACCTTAATTTCTGTACACAGCGTATGAAGTAATTTGAAGAAATCCAATGTGCCCAAGCCTTGTTCAATGATTGGAGCGAAGTTGTCGTAGCCAAGAATATCTTGTATTCTAAAAGACACTTTTTAAAATCCCAAATTACAAGCCTTACCCTTTCAAATTGTGACAACTGAACGTCGTCGATTTATCTACTTCCATAGAGGACATTTCTAAAAAAGACAATTCTTTTAATCTCTTGGAAAAAAAAAACCCCTGGATAAATAAAATGTGATTAAACTTTTGGTTTCATGGAATTCATAAGTGTACAATTTATTGCCGATAAATTAATTCAACAAAGTAACAACACAATAAAAAAGTTTACTTGAAAAGTTAAAATACATACTCTAAAAAATTTCTTCAGAGATCAAGAACTGACAAAATTTGATCCGAGCGCATTAATATCCAATGAATCCTCCCATAATTCCCATTGGTGGCATTGGAGGGACTGGTGGCATTCCCTCATCCATGCTTCTCGTCTCCATACGGAAAGCCACCTAAAATTACAAAATCTTTAACGTCTCTTCTAAAAAATCTAATCGTTTTCACGTTTTCAAGAGAAGAACCCTATCACAATTTCAATTTTGAACTTTGCTATTTTGCGTACTTAAACCACAATACAGCACATTCTCTGGTGTTTCAACTCTTATCTACAAGATTAGCAATAAACCCCTATAATGAGATTTGAAGGCATGGGCCACGAACCAATCATTTGGGTATTCTTTTGATTCCTAAAAATGAAACGAACTCTGGGAATATTTTGTTTCATCTTGTTTTTAAATTTTGCTTATGGAGCCTTGCCAGCACCCATGGTCATCACTAAATATGGAGCTGTTGTGGGAAGCGCCCAAATCACTCAAGATGGTACAGTAATCAACGAATTCATGGGTATCCCCTTTGCTCAACCTCCTGTCGGAAAACTTCGTTGGGAGGTAAGCAATGAGAAATTCAAAGATTATTGACGGTTAGAAACCCGCAACTCCTATTCCATGGACATCGCCCCTTAATACTACAGCTTATAAACAAGGATGCATTCCTTGCATGAGGTAAACTTTTAACTTGAAAATCTTAGCAAAAGTTCATTCATGTGTAGTGGGCAAGTGGAAAGCTTTGGGGCCACCGAAGACTGTCTTTACCTAAACGTGTGGACTCCGGATTTGCAAGTTAGATCTAAAAACAACTTGTATAAAGACCAAAATCTCAGGGTAGCCTGCCAGTCCTTTTTTACATCCACGGAGGAGCCTATACGGGCGGGTCGGCGGCTGATTTTCCGCCGCAAAGTTGGCGAGAGGTTAATAAATTCTCGTTCTATTTAAATTTGGTCGCAGGTTTGGTCTCGACGAGGAATTGTGGTTGTTACAATTCAATACAGATTGGCGGAGCTAGGTTTAGAAAGTTAAAATTTCAAAAGGAAGACCTGTTACAATTAGGATTCTTGACAACTAATGATAGTCGAATTGTTGCAAATTTGGGCTTGTGGGATCAAAATATGGCGCTTCGATGGGTTCAAGACAACATTGGACGATTTGGAGGTACACAAAAGTATTATTCTCAATAAATTCGAGAATACGCAGGCAACTCAAAACGAGTCACAATTTATGGAGGATCGGCAGGTTCATCTTCAGTGAGTCAACACACAATGTCTCCCTACTCAAAAGGTTAACACACGAAAAGGCTATTTACCACGCTTCTTTAGATCTTTTTCAACAAGCAATCGCAATGAGCGGCTCTGCCATGGCTGAGTTTGCACGAGGGACAAACACACTCGATTTCTCAAATCTCTACTTTAAGAAATTAAAATGTGATACGGCGCCAGATATCAAAGCGTATGATATGTCACTTCTATATAAATGTCCTGTTTTAGCTGCATGCAAAGCAAAACCCTCGATGAACTCTATAAGGTCGAAGCTGGATATGAAGGGGTGAGTGAGCAACTACTTACAACACTTGAAGTTTCTTTACTCAAATCAAATGAATAGGTTTCATTTTGTGAAAAATTTTGCACGAATAAAGGTATTCATTTATCGTATAGCAAAAACTTTTAAATAATATGTAAGACTACTACCATGTTTTAGTCATGTGGACCAAGTAGCCTAGACTGGCTCGGTTTTGCACCAATTATTGATGGAGACTTCTTACCTGTCCAGGTACTTGCAAAGAAACTTTCTTTAAATTTATCACTTGCAGCCCGAGATCGCCTTTAAGAATGCTTACAATATTCCAATTATTATGGGACTAAACCAAAAAGAAGGACGCGTATTCA